GGTGCGGTGATTCCGCCCAGGAGTCCTTCCCATTTATCAAGGAATTTCTCAAGCTGAGGCTCGCCAGACCCGGCAGCTCTGCCGAGGGATAGGCGAAGAAGTTCATTCGTACGGATAGACTGGCTCCCGACTTCATCGGGACGAAGGTACTCAATGAGACAGAACAGGATCTGGCGGCTTTTCAGCCTCGTCCCCCTTTTCACCTGAGCCTCTTCAGTCAGCCTGCTGATCTTGGCAACTATAGGTTTCGATGTGATGCACTTTCTCAGTGCAGCATTGAACCTATTGTCAAGGATCGGGTAGAGGCACTCCTCATCAAGTTCCTCTATTGCGCTGGCGTTCTCGACACTCATGACCCAAGACATGGCATATGGCGAGTCATAGCTGAATGCGTTGCTCACGATTTCTCTCGTGGAAATGATCCAGTCTCGCAACTCATGCGGTGCGGGCTCTTTTTCGAGCTCTATGTTGGCGCACTTGTTCGCCTCAGATGGCAACGAAGTTAAGGGCGGTCGAGTAGCCTGCCCAAAAACATGGGGAGGTAAAACGCCGTCTCTGCCAATGGATATGGCACACAGAGAGCAACTCCCGGACGATGGCGGGCAGCACGCGGCGCATAGAGAAGTGCGGCACAACGAACAAGTTTGGAAGCATGGAGGTGTCCCGGGGATGCTGGTCTTGACATTTATGTTGCACCGAGGGCAGACCCTCTCCTCAGCGGAAGATCGGCGAATATCGGGAGCTCCAATACCGCCGACGCCACCGACGCCATGCACACCCTTACCGAGTCCTGGTGGAAGAGAAAAACCAGTTGGCCCGCCAGAGTTATCCTGTGCTCCGTGGTGAGGCTGTGGATTCTGCTGATTTGTCACAGCAGCGTCAGGTCCGTATCTCCCGCGAATGACTCCCTGAGACGTTCCATGCTCAACCTGACCGGTGAAAATCCCCCCTGTAGGGGAACATCCGGGGTACGTGTTGATGGTCCCCCTCGGAACTGCTCGTCCGACTACGGGCGAAGACATTGCCCTTGGTGGCATTGGCCCGGCAGCTCCGGCGTGGGAACAGAAACCAGAATTCCCTTGGTGCGGTTCAGGACTCCGATGTGACGGATCTCCACGTGATGGCCCGGATCCAGGATCAGGAGCAGTGCCATCCCGCTGATTATGATCAGGAATGCAATCAGGTCCTCCAGGCCCCGCACTGGGGCCGCGATGCTTAGTTTTTCCGTCGGGATCAGCTCTCAGACAACCGAGGCAAATAGGTCGAACACTCGACCCAAAACGACGCACATCGTCAGGCGAAGCGATGTGTTGATCGCAGTACTCGTCCTTGCATATGAGACACCTCACAAGTCCGTGTCTCCCCCCTCTTCCTCTGCATGCGCGGCATCTAGGAAACTGATCGCTGCACTTGAAACACGAGTTACAGTCATGGTCAAAGCAGTCTTCGCAGACTGACTTGCCGCAGCTTCGGCATGGATAGCGAGGTTCCCGATGCTGTGGATGCCCGAGCTCCTCATGAGCACACCTGGCCCGGTTATCAGGGGCAGCGCCGGCAGCCCGAGCAATGGCCCTCGTTCTAGAGGGATCCCTGCCGAAGATGGGGGCTGATGGTGATGGTGGGGGTGGCCCCGAAGGAGGTGGAGGTGGAGGAGGCCTCGCCGAGCTGACGGTGCGAGCATCACGAGGAGGAGAACCTCTAGGAGCCCTTCCCTGGGTTAAGGGAGCAGTGTCTCCAGATTTCTCCCATGATCCCGTTCCGGCGGTCGAACCAGCGCCAGCACTTGAGGATCCGCAGGCAGCAAGAGGTTGCTCCCTCAACTCAGCGATCTGCATGTTGATCTCATTGACCCTCAGCACAAGCTTCATAAACTGCTCTTGCATGTCCCTCGGATTGGGGCCTAAGCTTTTGTCATGAAGGTCCTTGACGCATCTAGCAATGCGGGACAATTGAAGCTTGAATTCTTCCTGTTTCTGTGAGTTCTCATTGAGGGCTCCGGATACCTTATCACTGAACTGCTTCAGGTCGGTCGCAGGAACGAGATGCTGGATATACGTCTCGACGTTCCCACGGATGGTTCTTTCTCTTGAGATGGTTCCCTCAATGTCGATGACACTGCGAGAGTTCGCCTCAACTTCGTCTTTGATTTTCCGAACCTCAGCCTCAAGGGCCCCGATCTCAGAAAACCTAAGAAGCTGGACCTTGACGTTCTCAAGTGATTCGGCCTGCTCGCGAAGTTCAGCAGCGGATATGACGATCGAGTCAGATCTCTCATCATACATCTTGAAACGCTCATTCATCTCCTTCTCGCTTCGGGCGACCCACTCGTGGAAATCACGGAACTTAGCCTCGTGTTTTGAGAGAGTTCCGGCAACGGCAGAGAAAGATGATTCAACCTTCTTCTCGAAGGCGTCAACACGGTTATTGATCTTCTTGATCTCACCGACGCAAGCGTTGATATCATCCCTACATGAACGAATCTCAGCTCTGCATCCCTGGATTTCGGCCTTGCACCCCTTGACCTCGTTGTGGATCGCGAGAAGCAGTCGTTGAAGCTCAGATGCAACAGGATGGCCGCCACTTGTGGAAGCAGACGGAGCAGGACGACTATCAGCGTCATGATCTCCGCGACTATTCTCTTCCCTGTCGGGAGTGCAGCCCGGAGTTCCGATTTGAAAGAATGCGGGGACAACGGAGTCGTTGACCGGTTGATTCGAAGGAAGCCCTCCATATCCAGGGGCAACAGTGCTAAGTCCAGGTCTCCGGTTCCTAGGCGTAGAGTTAATCCCGTCATCAGTCTCCTTCTCAGACATCGGGGCATTGGAGCTGAGCCCAGACCCCGCAGAGTGTATAGGAACGTCAATAGGATCGTGATGAGCTGGGGGATTAGATCGCAGTCGTAGAGCAGCTTCACGTCTCTCGGGTGACTCAGAGCTCCTCTTTGTGGCTCGTGAGTCAGTGCCGGTTTGTCCCGACACATTATCAAATGATGATGATCCGCGAAGTTGAGCTTGATCTGGATTAGGTTGAGTGAGATCAAGCCGTTGAGCAACGTCACCATTGAGTGGCTTAGGGGAAAGTACTTTGGCAACGCGGCTCGGCGGGAGCGATGTAGTTCGTCTCTCTGGTGTGACCTCGGCCTCATCGATTACATCAAGGATCCCAGGAATGGTTTCATCATCTTCATTTCCTCTCCTGGGTGGCTGATGGAAGGGGATGTCGAGGAGGTCAAATGGAGTAGAGCCAATACCAGGTGTATCCTGCTCGGATCCATCGCTGGTACGGTGGCTGGACTGCTCCTCGAGGTCGATGACGTCGGGGGCGGACTCTTTTCGAGTCTGACGCCGATTGAACGCCGCGAAGAGACCGGCATGGCTTCTTGACGAAGAGGAGGAAGGATTTGGGCCTGCTGTTTCGCGGCCCGCATCCGATCGACTAGTACCTGATGTCCGATTTGGCGGATTTGAGCCCGCGTTGTAGCGGTTCGCATCCCGACCTCGGGTACCTGAGGAAAGCGGTGGATTCGGACCAGCGTTGTAGCGGTCCGCATTCCGGTCGCGGGTACCTGACAGGTGAGATGATACTGCATCAGGGATGAAGTCCATATCCGCCGGACTGGGGTGATCGTGAATGATGTCAATGTCGGATGAACCTGAGACGGGAGGAGGGCCAGCTATTTGCGGCCAATCCTCAATCGCCCGTTTGCCCACCTCGGGTTGGGCCGAACCTGCAACATGAGAAGGGGAGAAATCTTCAATGGGGTCATTTTCTCCATCATGAGGAAAACCCTGAGTAGGCTCATGCGTAGGCAGGGCATCAAAAGATCTGTCAATTCGGGAAGGCTGAGACCTCCAATCAGCATCAAAAAGGGATTGAAAATCCAGATTCCCAACCGAAACGGGGGCACCCGAGTTAAAGCCGAGCCGACCGAAATCAGGCGGTGTAGCCTGCGATCCACTGCCGAGGAGTTGGTCAAACTGGTCCCATGTAAGGGACCATGATTGAGCCGGCTCCGGATGAGCAGCATGATGGGCAGCCCGGTCCTCGATCTGGAGCGCCACGAACGGAACAGTAGGCGAAATCGATGAGGGCACCTGATTTGGAGGAACCTCAGCCTCTTCTAGAGGGGGTCCGTCCTCGATCTGGAGCACTGCCGCCGGGATAGGGGCCTCCGCATCCTCATCAAACACAACCTGAGAAAGGATCCAATCGTCCGTGATCACCCCGGGATTGGGCTCTGTGCCCACCATCGGGGGAATGGGCCACAGCCGGCTGTCTAAGCCGGGGGCAGCAGGCGCGGCGTTGCCGCGAAGGGTGTTGGCCTCGTTGTGCACGAAGCCCGGCCCACGATGAGAAGCTCCGGGGGACGCCATTGCTCGTACAAGTAGGCGACGGGAGCAGCTAGCGGGTCACGTCCCGCAACCGGATCACCAGCCCCAGCTTCTAGCTGTTACGGCTGATAACCTGCGGTTTTGGGCGAACACGAAGTAGCCCAGGGAATCAAAGAGGTACACGTGGTTCACGAAGTACCAAAAGAACCCAGTCCCAATGCACAATGTAAAAGGTGCCGGTGACCAGATTGTGGGAGTGACAGTTAATGAAGATCAAGTTTGGGGAGGTTGGGAAATAGGTTGAAGAAGGGAAGTTTGTGTCCAAGCCCAGGACGATCACGCAGAGATCCTCCGCCCACCGCCCAGTGCCTAACCACGGCGACGTCAGGAGCCTTTTCCCGACGGCGAAGCAGTCAGCCGCACTATGGCTGGCGCAAAAAGAATCCGTGACCCCCCTGACGGGAGGGCAAAACTTGAGCCAAACGGCCATTCGGCCGTTTTGCCACATGATGAAACAACACGTGAACAAAACACAGCTTTAAAGGGGGCCGCCGTGGTTTGTCGTTCTAACGGGACACCATAAGGAAAACCGCCATTTTGCGGGGAAACACACACCCATATTGTCGGAGGCGACCCCAGTCCGGAAGTCATCGTCCTCTACACTCCGGCCTACGATGTCCGACTTCACTTTCGACGCCACCTGGTGACAGCTGCTTTGAGGTATGCGGGGATTCAGGCACATGTGGATAATGTTGGGAGTGTTCATTCCACCACAATAACAAAATCAAACAGCAATCTGGCTGGGGAACACCTCGGCAAGTCAAAGGGGGGGACAGACCTTATCATCCATTTGCTGAGGTCGCCAGGAAACACACATACATTACTTTCCAGTAGTCATCGATTCCCCTTTAAGCCAACATCTCAGAGTCTCACCATGTAACCCTGGGTAGGTACCCCTTAAAAAAACACAGAAGCTCAGCTGCATCATGGGTACGCCAAGGGTAACTTACAACCACATTTCCCGTGGGGGCATCTCCAGTTTGCCCCCCAGGCAGGGGGAAATCAACACATCGTGGCCACTGCCGTGCTCAAAGGAAAACGCAGAATGGGTAAAGGGTAGATCACCATATTTCGCCTCGTGGGATATCAGACGTACTGTTCTCCCAGGTGGTTTGGTTCCCGACCGCGCCTGGAGCACCTGGTCGGCCGCCAGGCTGGCGGATTCGTTCAAAGTGGCGCCCAGGCCCGCCAGCTTCTTCACCTCAGCTTGGGGCTGAACAAAGTGCGAAGATGTTCCCTCAAGTTGGAACAGACCGTCGAAGAAGTTGTCTCGGACATGGAGCATCTTTGCCCCTTGCCCCTGCAGAAGCTCACATTAATTTGATCAAAAGGCGATATTTCCCACCGGAACCACTCCATACCCCGCCAGCAGCTGCTGCCGGTACCGTTTTCTTTTCCCCGGTGCCGTGGGCTCCGATTGGGCCTCCGGGCGCGGCTGGGTAGCGGCCCCAGGCCCAGCACTAAGGAGAGCTCCTGGCGCGGATTCCCTTCACCTGGAAATCCAGGGTGATCCGTCCAAAGCACACGTTTTCCTGGCCAAGCCTCTCCTTAAGGCTCCAGGTGGTGTTTTGGATCATCCACCCAAGTCCCGGAAACTAATCCGTGCACTCACCTTTAACAGGACGAAATATGCGCGTGTCTTTCTTGTTTCGGTATCCCCAAAATGCTGGTGGTCTTTTTGGTTCTCCTTCAAAACCACCACAAACCACCAACCAAAAGGAAGACCCTCAAAAAAGACATCATCTGCGAATCCAAATTAGGGAAACCGGTAAGAAAACCGATCGATTCGCTTAGGCTGAATAAGCACCTGAAGCCTGTCGACGAATTGGAGACCGAGCAAAGGGGAACCTGTGAGTGCTGACATGGGCTGCCCAAAGAATGAGACCTTGGCGACGGCCAAAAAGAGGAACGAAATAACCAGGTCGAGACTCAACACGGTTGCCAACATGGACAAACCAGCACAAAACCAAGATGGGGATGACCAGAAAGAGAAAAACAAAACATCAAAGGGACAACTTCATTCATGGGAAACCGCCAGCCGCGAGGACTATGGCTCTCATACTCCTCCACCCTGCTAGAAGGTGTAAGACGGTCAAATATGATAGACAAGTAGGGACGTGCCAAGTTGGTGGCAGCTTCCCTCGAACTGCTTTGGAGCCCGGTTTGGAACTCTCTTCAGGGGTTGCGCCTTTAACCCTCGACCGGCTCAAATCTCACCGACCCCACCAAACCAACGAAGGGCTACCTGAGCGCAGGTTGCCGAACCCAGATCGCCGACAGGCCATCCATATTCCTTTTTCTCTTTCAGGGCTGGAGTTCACCCCTTAGCAACCGAAACCAGGGAGTTGGTGTGTCGTCTCTAAGGTTGGACCCCAACATGCTGATCTTCCTTTTGGTTGCCCTTTAAACTCACCCACCAATATGGAACTGGCTGGGTAGGTCCGCTTACCTTGCTTGAGTCAAGTGATGGGCACAGTGGCTGGCAACGGCCTGGGGTTTGAAACCTCATCGCTCTCCCATCGCCCGAACCAAAAGTTGACAGAACCGAGAAACAGAGGCGAGTTCGACCGAACCCCTCGAAGTGTGTTTGACCTTCACCCCAGGAATCCCCGCAAAAATGCAGGGGAACAACTCAGACTATCATGCAAACCAACACCATCTTATCTATAGACATCTCTCTTGCTGAGACTGGCCAAAACAAGTCCAAACTTTCTGTTTGCCGCGGCCCAAACCCAAAAAATCAAAAACAACAAACAAATCCCAGTGACGGAGGTGAGCGACATGGCGGCCTCGCAGAAGTGGCAACAGTTCTTGTTCAGGAGATCGTAGTCCGACACGGGCCACTCCTAGAGTTCGACGCAAAACGGGGGGGAGTCAGAAATCGGGGTCCCAATTTTGGATTGATCAGCTTCCGCTAATTCATGTTTTGGATGAGAGGTTTGGAGGTTGGAGGTGGTTTCCCATTGGCCATCTACAAGAACCAGGGGTACAAATCTAAATCCAAACCACCAACTAAGGGCTACCTGAGCTTATGTGGGGCCCGCCCCAACACAAGGAACCGGATCCAAAAAGGGGACGGTAAGGAAGGGATGATTACAAATGACACCAGCCAGCTCAAGAGCGGTTGATGGACCTGAAACCCGACATGAATGACGTCGGCCGAGGGCTCCCAATTAAAACTTATGCCGTGGCCCAATATTATAAAAGGTTGGCGCATGTGGAGGATGTTTTTGTGGGAGAAAGTTGGGGCGGCGGGGCTTCAAACCACACCTTCTGGGCACGTACTTCTTCTTTTGGGGGGGACCCTGGTTGCAGCTAGCTATAGCATGTCCCAAGGGAAATTGGAAACCTAAAGATGAGCTTTGCCACCGCAACAATACAGGGAACCCTGCAACGGGATTCCAGAAAGCTGGTCGGTTCAAAAGCACAGGACCCTCACACGGTTGAGTGAACGCGGATGTGTGCCTTTCAATTGCCATTCCGTTGCCACTTTGAATAAAAACAACATGCCATGCATCACCCTTTCCCCTGAACACCACGAGTCTTTAAATTTATAGACTTCAGCAAATGAAGGGTGTGTGTGTGTGTGTGTGCGCGGATGTGTCCTGTTTTTCTCACGAACATACTTCTTCTGCCCTGCAATTGATCGTGCCTGCCCACAGAAAGAAGATTCCAAACCATCCTCTAAGTTTTGCCGGCGGCTTACCGCCTGAAAGGAAATGGTGCCAGCCCGCAACCTGCGAATTTGCCGCCCCGCCACCTACGTCCTTCTTACATCCCTCAAAACAACTTCACCGCCTGATCACTTCATATCCGGAGCTGTTGCTATCTTAGGTTTCTCAACATGAAGCCGCTATCCTCGCTGTCTCGCTAAACATCTGAGACCTGGTATTCGCCTTTGCTTTGCTTCTTGTATCGGGATGGCTACCAATGTGGATATCCCAAAAAGGAATGACGCAAACGCATTTAATCTACCAAGATCGTCGGTGTTCGGCAGGCCTTACTAGAACCCGTGTTCCTTGGAGACCGCTGCTCGTATCAGGGTTCCCTCAAACTGCAGAAGAGGCTGTCCTTATTTCAGACCACCGGGGCGGGTTCCCCTTGTTTCAAGACATACAACACACCAAAGGGCCCGTGAACAAAAGGTTGAGCTTTTGGGGCCATGACCAATTAAAATGGACCACAACGGAGAACATGTTGATGCGCATTGGGGTTTCACTATTGAACAAGCTGGTCGAACATTGTCGGACCCTAGAAATGGCTTCCCTGTAAAACCCGAAATAGACACAGCACCGGTATGTGTCAAAATTTCGCCCCGCAAAAAAAGAAATGGCGCTTTCCCTTTAGCTTGAACACACACACACAAGACACACACACACACAAGTACGCTCGAACACCCACACCATCCCACACCCATTTGTGGGAAGTCCCTGGCACCTGCATCAAGCTGTAGATGAGCTCGATGGTCTCATCCTCCGACAGGCTGATGCTGCCCATGCGCACGGCCTGCACCAAGGGATCACGGGCTATCTTGCCCGCATGCCACTGCCGGCTGAGTTCTGGGTTTGTCTTGAAGCAGGGCCTGTATATAGTGGTTTTTCGTTCGTTTCCCTAACAAACCAGACAAGAGAAGCCTCCAAAAACACAGGAACAGTTCTGGTTTCGGGGCAACTCATGGAGTGGGACGCACATAACCCTCTCTGAGGGCCCAATCCCCAAACTCATCCAAACCTCGTGTGCATTCCAGGCTGTGGGAAATGACATTTCCGCCAGCGGGCTTCCAATGATCACTTTGCCACGGTTCGCGTTGCAGAAATCGGCTCGCTCTGAAGCCCAGTTGTCCAACCCATGGGCTGGTCGCACCTTTTCACTTTACCCCTAATTGGTTGTTTGGTTTCGTGGTTTGGATGTTGCGGGGGCTACCTTAAGGAATGTGGGGATTCAAATCCCCAAACCAATCCAAACCATCAACAAAGGAGTGCCTGATCTGTATAGACGAGCCTTTGGTTTGAAGGGCGCTTTCCCATGACCGGGCCCCACAACGACTTCTGGTACCTCCAAAACGACACACCCACAAATGGGTGTCTCTTAAAATGGTGTCCCTTTAAAGCAACCAAACATGGGTTTCCAAAAAAACATCCCCCCCCAGAAATGTCTTCAGACTCCTACCACCTCTCTCCTTGGACCCGCCTCACGGAAGGTGTGGTCCGCCATGCGGGGCATGCAGCCCCACACCTCGACAGGCACACGATCCAAATGGTGGGTAACTTGTCTTTCTTGGAGTTGGTGCCCCTTTCGGAGAAGCCAAAAGGAAACAGTGGCCATTTTCGAATTCCACATCCTATTAGGCAAATCCTGGTGGTTACCATGGGCCCGTTGCTTTCGATTCCTCAGGCCAAAAAGTGGCCACGTCCACAAAAACCGTGGGATGCTTCAAAGTGGCTGCCTGAAAATGAGCCTCTCCAGTGCAGGGCCCAAGGATGCGGGCTGGTGGCTTCTTTGGGGATCCTTTTCAGGTTCATTCTCACAACCCTTCTTGATTCCCAGGCTCTTTCAATTCGGTTCAGATCAGATGGAAAGTATAATGGCCCTAAACTCAAATTATTCGGGACTTCGCAAGCAACTCGAGAACGGCCAATCGGAACGATTTGCCACAGATGCGAGGGCCTAAATTGTTAAAATGGAGTCGGCACCTTGAAAACTAAAAATAGCAGGAGCAAACTCCTCATGTTCGAAATCCTGAATCGACTGCCCAGAAGCCTTGTACTCAGGGGTCACTTACAAGCGAGCTAACTCCCAAACCATCTTAAATTTGCTGTGTGGAGCTTGAAGGAGGAGCTATTTGGCAAACAAACAAACGAAATACCCAAAGAATATGCTGGAGGTCAGGTAGTAAACAAGCAGGATTCCCTCCAAACAAATTCTTAGCCGTTCCACACAGTGACTACCAGGGGTCTAATTCCAGGGCCCCAAGTGACCTTCAAATTCATTGTCTCTTATCAGGTTCACATCAGATATCCCAAAGTGACGTCAGCGCCCCAACAAGAAACAAGTGAAACTGCATGGGCCCACATCATTTTACCTCCAGCCAAGGTTCAGCCAAATCAAATGTTGCCCCCGGATTCATCAGTCCCATCCTGCGACCATAGGTGCCACACACAAAAATGCGAAGGATTTCCACTAAAAGGGGCCACCACCCGATCAAAACTAGCCATGGGCTTATGCAAGAGGCGAAAACATGATTGACAAAGTTTCTGCTTCATTGTGTAGTCAACCCCCGAAGGAACACTTTTCGCTTGAGGAACCAAGTTTCAACCATGGGTTTGTCACTCCGGGGCTCCTATTACTTGCTCCAAAGCGCTGCCCTTGTAACGAAATTCAAAGCCCGACCCTGCAAAATATACTGCGCCAGCCACGAAATCAGCAGTGATCGCAGTGCTCCAAATTGCTGCGCCTGCCACAAAAGTCAACGCGCGACCCTCCAATGCGCTGTGCCTGCTCCAAAGTGCCGAAATCTGCACCCAAAATACTGCGCCTGCTACGCAAATCCGCGCAGACTCGTTCTAAAGCGCGGCCCCGGCCACGGAATTCAACGTGCGACAACCCAAAGCGCTGCGCCCGCCAAAAGATTTGATCGCAGCGCTCCAGACTGCTGCGCCGCGAACCTGTCACGAAAAGTGAGCGATCAAACAATGCTTGCACGCGTCTGCCAAGTAAGACGCATCAAAATCTAGTCGGCCTATCGAATCTAATCTATCTCAGTTTCTGAATCTAATCACTCTAATCCAACCTTGTCTTAGCTAGCCTAGTTTAGTCTACTCGATTCTCACTTTACTATCTGGTCTAATCTGCCTATCTACCTATCTACCTCTCATCTATCTGTCTATCTAACTTTCGATCTATCTACCAATCAAGCAACCTATCGCCCTATTTTACCTACCTTTGTGTCTATCTATCTACGTCTCGCTTTCTCTCTCTCTCTCTCTGTATCTCTGTCTCCTTGTACCTATCTCACTATCTTTCTATCTATCAATCAATCTGTCTATCGTTCTGAATCGTTCTATCTATCTGTGTCTAGTCCATCTATATTTCTATGTGTCCATGCGTCCATCTATGTTCCTTCCTTTCTTTCCTGTATCTAGCTATCGTTCTATCTATCTCTCGCTGTCTATCTACTTATCTATCTATCCATCTGTCTGTCTGTCTGTGTATCTGCCTGTCTGTCTGCCTGTCTATCAACGCTCCTGCGAGTTGTGGTTGGTGCTCCAAAGTGCTGCGCCCGTCACGAAATCCAACTTCGACACGCTGTTCGACGCGAGCCAGAAATTCGCGCGGGACGGCGCCGGAATGCTTTTCGCTGAGCTCCCGGACGCCGGTGGCCTTGGGATCCAACATCTCGTTTTTGCCCCCGTAGCTCCATTCCACACCGAAGACCTGGCACTGAAATGGTGGCGACGTCGAACCAAACGGCTTCTGGGTGAATTCGTGGGATTCGATCACACATATTCGTTCGAAGTATGCGGTCCACACAGAATAATCAAGCAGCTCTGTGATTCCATGTCCGGCTTCAACGCTTTGGTTTTCAAGGGACACCAAAAGTGAACCAACTAACTTTCAGTGTTGGAAAAAAATGCGGCTCAAAGTTCCACGGGTGAAACACTGCAAAGATTTCGCAGATCCTGGATCGGTGGCGAATCGCCTTTCTCCAGCTGTGGCTGGCTTTAGGATTTTAGAGTCTGCAAGAAAACAATCGCAACTTGGCGATCCAGGTGGCTTTCTCAAAGTCACACCAAGGGATTGAAGTGAATGGCTGAGTCAGGTGAAGCAACCAGCTCACTTTTTTGGTCGGGTATCTATGGGCAACCAACCACGAAAACAAAACAGTGTCGAAACAAATTGGAAGACATGGGATTGAAAGTGAAGCAACACACCAAACCAGTCCAAAGGACTCAAATTCGAATCCTCAAAAACCGCAAGTGGGAAAAGAAACCAAACTGGGTCCCAAGGGCAAGCCATCCAATTCAATGTCACCCACACATTGATGCTGCTCAAAAGTCGCAATCGGCAAGTGGGCCCTGCAGCAAGCATGCAGGACAACTCGCCCTTTGTTTGTAGCTTGATCAACAGTTCACACGCCAAGCAAGCCTTTTAAGGTGGAAAGCTGAACATGATCATTGCGATCCCTGCAAGCAAAGGAAGCTTGGTCAAACTTGCGTGCCCTCCCAACAAGTCCGTGCCCACAAGACGAAACTCGGTCTGATCCCAATACAAGTCCGATCTCGGTTTCCCCCCTCCCGCAGCAAGGTCCCGTCATTTCGCGTGGAAACCCATCCAATTTACCAGCAGTTTTGCCAGGTACCAGAGAAACCCATCCAATTTACGAAAAAGGACACCATTCTGCAGCCCAACGTCCCCAAGACCCCCCCCCCCAGTTTTGCCTGGACCGCGCAGTGGAAGGCTCCGATGCCCACCGGGCGCAGCAGGCCGTTGAGGCCTTGTACCTGCGGCTGTGGATGGGCGCAATCCATTGCGCGCCACTTTGACACCAGGCAAAACCATTGTTTGTTGGCATCCGCAGGGAAATCATTATTCTAGGGTTTCTTGGGTGGTGCAAGATTCCGTCCATCCACAGTAGGGCAACCAGTTGGCACACCCGGAGCGTTCTCCCCGCCGTTTTTTTTTTGGGAACTTTGCACATCGCAGAGTTGAGGGACTGGGGACACGCCAGGTCAACAGGACTGCTTAGGATGTTCCCAAGTCTTTGCACGGGAAAGCAGCCTAGATGAGGCGCAGTGTTGCTCTTGCCCAGGTCATAGATGTTGAGCGTCACCGAGTGCTCCTCCTGGTTGGCACCATGCGGGCAAAGATGCGCAATGGCTCTACATCTACAACTGGCGGTTTTCCTTTGGGCTTCCTCTTAAAACCAACCCAAAAGAAGCGCCCCGAGAAAAAAGAAGAAGAAAAAGACAACACCCCGCGGGAACCTGGGAGCCACTCATTCAAGCCTTTTGTGGAAATCGGAGTTTCTAACCACTACACCAGGGTCAGAGTAGACGGCACAAAACCCTTCATGCGGGAAGGAAAGGTTTTCTTTGAACCCAACGAGTGAATTGTGCCATTTGCCATCCTAGCGCAACAAGAAACGGGGTCTCACTTCTCAGGCCAACCCAGAGAAAGGGGTGGACTTCCATAGCCTTTACTCCGGTGTTCAGCGAGACCTGACATGGGCCTCTTGGCTTGAGGGCGAACTCGGCGCCTCAAATGGAAGTGCCGCCTACAAGCTTGGCATCACTTCCAAAGGGCAAGCTTTTCTTCCGCAAGCTTCAGTTTGTTCAGAGATGTTTTGCAGTACTCACTTCCTGTGCCCACTAAAATGGTCGTCCCGAAACATGACCCTAAAGTCTCGAAACTTGGGAAGTGATTGTACCACAACCACCTGGACATTTGTCTCCAAGGCACACATGGAAACCCGCTATGGCAACGGCTTCTTCTTTCCCTTTATCCCACCCTTGGGTAGTGAAAGAAGGTTGGGCCAACCTTGAGAAGGCTAGGCTCAAGCAAGCACCGCATGAGATCTCTTTTGAGGGCGAACCGCCACACCCCCACACCAACAAAAAAAGAAACAACAAAAACCAAACACATATATATATATATATAGTGGCGCGGTCATTGCGCCAATTGGTCGTATCGAAAACCTGAGGCCACCGCCTCGAACCAACGACCCGGGCGCGCATGGGCTCGAGCCTCCGAGTCCCCGTCGCTGCCCGGACCTGGCGAAAACGTCGAGCCAAACCCGAGGAATGGATAACCCAAACACGGGAACACCTGGAGGCTCCATGGACTCCATGACCCTTTAAAAAACGGGTCCATGGCCCCTGAAGTTGGGGCAATGACCCCGTTTTTTGAGGGTCATGGAGACTCCAGATAGATACCCAGCTGGGTTTGTCACAAACCGATTTGCGCATCTATTCCCGTGTTGTTTGAACAAACAGTTTGTGCATTTGTTGGAGTTGGTACCATTTTGTTGAGGGTGTATTAAAGGCAAGCCAAGAGGAAACTACTCCTTTGGGGGGGGGGGAATTTGACACGTACCTAATTTGACAGGTACCCAGGCTTCCCTATTCCCAAATCACCCTCAGAAGCCAACGGATACAGAACGGTTATAGGCTTGTCGAGTATAGGAACTCACAGGTTCCCTGTGGATGGGTATTTAAAACCCCGTAAAGGGGGGGTGGAGGGAACCCTTTGAAAAATAACCCGATCACAAGAGAGTTCCCTTCTTTTTGCAGGTCCCATCGGGATTTGGGCTGATGGACAAAGTCCACCGGCGCCAGTTGTCCCATTCACAGGGTTTCGTCCACTCCAGCAAAAGTTTGTCCACAAATATCTGAGCAGCAAGCGGGACATTTCCATGGAACGTCCAAATGCCCACCACCATAGCCAGCTACAGGAAATTCAACGGAAGCTGACAAAACACCTGGCTTTGGGTATTTGGCGAGTTCTGGCTGCTTCCTTTGACAATGCCAGCCGGTTCCCTGCAATGGCGCTTCACTGTGTTTCACTGCGCTTGTGCGTTTTGCGGGGACTTGCCTTTTGGGGGCTTCGTCATTTACAGACACCTCCTTCTTGCCAATCTTTCAACATCCCACTTCAAGAAAACCTCACTTGAACGAACATGCAACCAAGAAATAATAATGTTCATCAACACCAACAGGGGAAACATAGGGAGCGCTAACAGACACACACACACACACACTGCCACACGCACACCAGACACAGACACAGAGACACAGAGACACAGAGACACAGAGACACACACGTCACGCAGTGGTTTAATGGAGCGCCCGCTGGGTCCAGAGCAAAAAGCAAATCCGGTTTCCGAGGGACCCCAGTTACCGCTATAGTAAGTAACTCGTTTGTCCTCTATTAGGTCCTCTATGGTACCAAAGAAGGCACCCCGGGGCCCTCAAGCAAAGCCCTGATTGTGGTTGGCCCACAAAGGCGAAATGTCGAGCCCAAGAGCAACCATGATGCGGTATTGACAGTCCGAGCTGAAAACATGTAACCAAAGCAACTAAGCAAGTAATTAAGGTCTGGTTCCAGCACGGGCTCTCATGAAGTCATGATTGGTTGCAGGCGGGAGATGGCGGGAGGGGTTCAGCCCATAATATATTAAATCTGGTCCACCTGCTCAAGAATTGCGGGATCAACGTTGTCCCACTTGAGAAACCCTTGCCGGCGGTTTCCCGTTTGGCAAACTGAACCAAGTACAATACAGGGACACGACCATGCACGGGACCTCAGCTTTTTGTACCGCAACTGGGCAAAGTGCCTGTCTTCAGCAAACCTGCCCGGCTCGGAGTTCGTGACACTCCAAAGCTCGTCTGATTATATACAAAAACCAGGTCCGAGTCTCTTCTTCCACTCACGCCACCTGTGGCTTCAAAATATTTCGTTCCTTCCGGTCGATTAAGGGCAAGCGGCCGCCAAGAACGCATTGTATGATGCTGTAGGAAAACTTGTAACACCACAGAGCGCTACAGCGCCGCCTCCTCCTCGATTATAACAAGCAGTCGCGTCGAACGTGCCGCCAATGTTGAAGCCGGGATCAAGAAATGTGTTTGAAAGGCCAGCACAGTCCCAGGCCAGTGCCGCGGTTCCTGTGCCTTCAAGAAGAAACGACGTCACACCTTGCGTAGAATCCAGAACCATTGCGACATCTTTGAACTGTTTTTTTTTTTTTTTTTTTTTTTTTTTTTAAATAGTGACCGAACATTGAGTCAACACACATTTGAATTTAATCAGTCTGAAAAAGTATGCTTTGAAAAAGCAGCTCAGCCACCAAGCGCACCAGCAACACAACGATCCCAGCAGTTGGAGCAAAAGGGCTCGTTGTGCTCCATAAGGTTCACTCGCGCCAATAGCGTGCCAGCGCAATCCTCCGCGTCAAAGACCGAGAGCCAAACTGGAACCTTCACAGGGCGCGAGTCTGTTGCCTCCAAATCGTTGGCCCCGTAAAGCAGAGATCATGGGTCCTCCAGTTTAAAAAATGCTGGCAAGTTGCAAGAAATCTTAGCAGCTCTGCCCCAAGACTAACTGGGATTCACTGATAACCAGCGCCCGGTGAGTTGTCAAATTAGTAGTTCCTTCTGACTAATCCAATAGTGGTGTGGCAAGGCTTTGAGCGCGGCTTGTGTGTTCGTTTGGCAGAGTTCTGAGCTTCAGTGATTCAGCTACATGGGACCTCGTGATGGGAAATTGTCCAGGGGCATGGTTGCAATCGCTTTCGCGGTGGTAATTTGGCTGTGGGTCAAAACCAATGGTACCATTTTGGGGTAGGTGCGCCACCCATTTTAGTATATTTTCGTGGGATTGGGATGTTCACTGGGGGTACGGGATTTTGACCCATGGCCATTTGAGGTTCTCAAAAGATGGCTCATGCTCAGTGAGTGGGGTTCATCAGCCTTGGTTGAGCCGCGGCTTTTAATGCCCACAAAACATACGTGTCGCCCACAAGGTCTTAGTCTTATTATGCTGAATGATCGCGCTGGCAAGTTTAAGTTTCTTAGGGTTTAGGTTTAGGGCTTTTAGTGTAGGTTTAAGGTTTTCAGGGCTTAGGTTTAGGGTTTTTAGGGTTTGGGTGTAAGGTTTGTAAGGTTTAGGTTTTGGGTTGTTAGGGCTTAGGTTTGGGGTGTTTAGCGTGGGTTTTCAGAGTTTTTAGGGTTTTTAGGGATTAGGTTTAGGGTTTGTTGGGTTTAGGTTTAGGGCTTTTAGGGTTTAGGTTTAGGGTTTTTAGGGTTTAGGTTTAGGATTTCTAGGGTTTAGGTTTGATTCGAGCTGGCTGTCCGGCGCATCCGAGGCTGGCTTTTCTGGTTTAGATTTAGGGTTGTGTTGATGATAGCAGGAAAAAACGCCAGGAAAAGTCGCCGCGCTCCATGAAGGGGGTATGGAGCATGGAGCTGGTGTGGGGTCCAGGGCTCTCGCTGCGCCTGCCACGCTTTTTGGAGGTCTCGGGGACCCGCTTCCGGGCAGTCGCGGGCAACTGGTACGTGTTGGCCGTTTTAATACCAACACTTCAGTACCTCCCCCCTCCCCTTAGATTCCTTTTGAACAAGAAGAGGGCACCAACAAAACATCAATCAAAACGGGGAACCAAGGTTCTGATGGACAGCCAAGTGGTTTATGCTTGAAACACAAGCCGCCAACATCCATTTTTACGTGGGCATCATTTCCGGATATTGGGCCGGTGGTTTGTTGCTTTTTTGGACAGGGCCCAATCAAGACAATGACCTCCCAAAAGTAAAAGCGTGGCGCAATTGACAATGGACCTCTGATGCACGGTCTTTCGCCAAAACTACTCTGTGGATGTCAATCATCTTGCACATCTAAACCAAACAATCCAACGGGAATAATTGATCCCTGCCCAACGCCTGCGTGGTCGTGGTTGTCGTGGTGGTGGTGGTTGTCGTGGTGGTCGCAGTGGTGGTCGTGGTTGTCGTGGTCGTGGTGGTCGTGGTGGTGGTGGTGGTGGTGGTGGTGGTCGTGGTCGTGGTTGTCGTGGTGGTGGTTGTCGTGGTGGTGGTGGTGGTGGTGGTGGTGGTGGTGGTGGTGGTGGTCGTGGTGGTGGTCGTGGTGGTGGTGGTGGTGGTGGTGGTGGTGGTGGTGGTGGTCGTGGTGGTGGTGGTGGTGGTCGTGGTGGTCGTCGTGGTCGCGGTGGTCGTGGTGGTTGTGGTGGTTGCGGCCGTGCTGGTTGCTGTCGGGTCGTCCGGCTGGTACTGCTGGTACCGACGGTACCGATGGTAGCGCCGGCGCAGGCGACGGAGGAACGGGCGGTACGAGTAGCTGTGACTGAGGTCGTAATTGGAGGCAATCGTCGCCGATGTCTTCCTCGACAGCGTTGGCATTGGAAGTGTTCATGATCTCTGTCACACATCACATCAAATGTGTTTTTTCATCAGTGACGCTTCTTGCAAAACAGCCCACTGGCAGCGGTGAGATACACAAGCAACACGCTTCAGGTTGCAACAACTGCAGAGCCAACGTTATCCCAATGACATGGCTCTGAATTTGGGAGTATCTTGATTTCTCTCCGAGGTGCAAAGGCTCTTCACCCAGCTTCTTCTGCAAAAGCGCAGTCTCCTCACCGGAGGACACGCACTCCACACAGCAAGGCGCATCATGCGCCCAGCCGGTCCAAGCCGTCCACATGGCCACAAAGAAAGCGGACACTTTCGCCATGCTGCACTTATGCCGCGGTCGAACCTGTGGCAAAAATGGCGCTGTTTTGAACACTGGCCGCCGGGTTCGGGGGAAGTGGGAAACCTGGACACCGCTGTTGGCTAAGCTGTACTAAAGCTAGCCGAGTAGTTTCTCCTTATGAAAGGGATCCAAAAGATGGTCATGTTCCGCTGACCAAACGCTTGAGTTGAGTTCTCTCGCGAAGCGTGGGTGTTGATCTAAGCATCCTGTTGCAGTGGTTCGCCATCAGATGTTCCCAACTTACCTGGCTGTCAACAATACTTACCCGAAATGAAACCATGGTAAATGGAAATGTGGACTAAAACCTGCAGTCCCCTGCTGATTTAATTTGGACCCATACCCTCAAGAATCAAGAGTTATCACAGGCACCAAGCGTTCAAGCTTCAGCCACGGGAGCTTCCCGCAATGTTCCAGTCATGGCCGAGACATCCGTGGCTTGCCACTGGGCAACTGCCACAAATCCCCCCTTTGACTCTTTGAATATTTTTTGCAACCCAAGGACCTGAAAGAAATGAAACCCAAGGGACCTGAAGGTGGGCGTTCAAAGAAAAGATAATATATATATATATATAATAAAATAAAAAAACATCCTCGACGGGATTTCCCCTGCAAATGTTCTGGCAAAGTTCATTGAGACCATCGTCAGGTTTGCTCCCTTAAGAGAAATTGAGGGACCCTCAAAAACCAGCACTGGCACCCAAAAACCACTGCTGTTTCGGTCCTGGATGTGTGTCCAAAAGTTCAGGGCCCAAAACCGCGCGCCAGCCTCGAGGAAGGTAGCCCCGGCGGGGCGTGGACATGGAGGAGTCGCAGCGCCTCGCTCAATCGACATCGACTCGACGTGAGAGAGATCGACCGAGGCCGCCCGAAACCCAGGTTTTCCCTCCCCCCCAAAAAAGTTGCCCAATGGCAAAAGAAACCAATTTACCACGTACCAAAAGTTGACCCAGGATGTCTTAAGATTACATGTGAATAAACAAACACCGCCAAGTCGACCGTAACTGGGAGGCTAAGGATAATAAGGCACACAACAATATAACCATGACTATGAGCGGCTGGTGATTTGGGGAGTGGCGATAGGGCTTGCTCTGGCTAAATTGGTATCTATCCAACCCCCCTTGTATCTTGTAATGGTCTGAGTGTGCTTAACTTTGCTCGGTAAAGCTAACTTTGCAAAGACAACGCAAAAAGCACAACCTATCAATTCTGGTAAGGTTGCCAGAAAGTTAACCAACCCAACCATTTAGGTAGGTGCTAGCTCTGAAACAATCTTGATTCTTGTTCTCTACATGGGTGTTTCTCAAAATCGGTGTCCCCTAAAGTGGCAGAGGTTTTTTTCTGGCTTCCCTTTCACTCGGTGGCAAAGAGTTCCCTGTCTTGGAACCCCTCGCCTTTGCGTTTGGCTTCAATCCAAACGACCTAAGCTTGGCGCCCTCCAAGGCTCTCACCTTCGACGCCCGAAACCGACATGAGTTGAAACATGTCGGAACCCATCGACCCCGAGTTCAGTCTGAAAAAAAAAACAAGTTGCCCAGGAAAAACCATCAAAGATGATGTTCAAACCCACCGGTTGAAAGCTCGTGAAACATAGTATATTCAGATTGTGTCCTGGGCGTGTGCCAAACCTGGGATTTGAACAATCTGCCTTCACAGTCCACGCGCCTGCCTTTTGTCCAACGAAAAGGGTGGACAAGATGTGGATGAACAAATTCCTACGCAAGTTGCTGGTTTACCTTATGTTACACAGTACTCACAGGGCTTAATCTATTTCAGCTGGTGCAGGGATCCGTCCATACGGAGTATTAAGGTTTCCATACAAAGGGAGTCCCAATCAAACAGACAGGATAACTGTTTTGGGAGAAACTTCCTTTTTGAGCTCCATGGCTTGACCAAGGTAGACAGTAAAACCCAGTGGTTGAGAAGCAAAACAAAATGAGGAAAAAACGCCCATGGGCTTAAGTCTACCTTGTAGTCGAAGGATAGGCCGGTTGAAGTCTACCTGGTAGTCAGAAGGAACCCCCCCAGTCGGTAGATTGAAACTTGTGATTGATTTCCCCAAGCAAAACATCCCTGGCTTGAAGTTTATGGAGACAAGGGAACGGGCAGCCTTCGCATCTGTTTCGGCATGTTCAACGTGTTTCTTTTGTTGCGGCCTACAAAACATAGAGACAGAAGTACAAAGCCATGTAAAGAAACAACACACAACAACACGCGAACAAGGCAATACATAAGAACGCAAATCGATGCAAACAACAAAACCACCTACCAAAAACCGTGAAGAAGATGTGGGATAATATTTGCATTGTTTCCCCGCTGTTGTTTCCTATCGGTTCTCCGGTGTAGTGGGCATGTCTCAAAATCGGGGGATCCCGTTTTCCGCTTGGTTTTCCTTCAAAACACCCTGCACCGAGTTTTGCAGCCGAGTGAGCGGACGCCCAATACCCATTGCTGGTCTTCCCTGATCGATGGTTCCACAGGCAACCCCTGTAAATCCAGAAAAAAACAGTCTGGATGCGCTTTTCGTGGATTTCACCCGTTCTTCCCCCTGTTGTTCGCTCTTTAGTATATCTTTTCTACTCTTTCATTGTTTGCTTATATCCTACACAGGTGGATCCCCAACTACAACCGCTGTAAAGCCGGGTAATTCGTCAACCCAGCACTAATATGGCTGATAGGACTCGGTTTTGGGCGCTCGCTCAAGCGAGCCGACATCGAGCCGCGAGCTTCCGCCTCCTCTCCGCCTGCAGCTCGCAGCCCAAGTCACAGAGAGTCGCTGAAAGAAGGCAATACCCGGCCTGGCGGACACAAATCCGTTAAGCCCGAAGAAAGCTTCTCAAAAAACCCAACGACCTTCCGCAAAGCTAGATCGGTGTCTTTTTTGGGGGATGCCCCCAAAATGATGATATTCGTCTTGGTTTGCCGTTCAAACCGCCAAACAAGGGGGTACCCCTCGAAAAAGACGAGCCATTCAGAGGGTTTGGCTCAGGATTCTCAAGGCAAAGGCATTAAACCCCTTCCTCTGAGCTTCACTGTGAAGCCAAATCCCCGAGAGAAAGCCCATCAAGACACTCACACACACACATGTGTCACAAGGGAGTCCTGAGCTTGATCATGCAGCCAACTTGCGCCAAAGGAACTTGGCAACAAACAACTTGACACATATTGGATCAAATCAACTTGACCCGCAGCAAAGGGGAGCCAAGGCAGATAGTTAAAGGTTACAAGGGTCCGGCCACTGAAAGGATGAAGGCGCCAAGTCCAGAAAACACAGCGGCGCTTGATTTCACGACTCACTTCAGCAAATGGAACCCCACCTGAACCGCCAAAGCAATTTCACTTGTGCCCCTTTTCTTCCCCATGAGTGGCAAACAGTTTTGGTGAAAAACCCGAATGGTTCACATGTTCTTTGCCCTTTGCACAGCAGTGGATGGTATCCCAGCAAGGTGGGACCTGGTCGCCGGGTCGCCACAAAACCGTTGTTTGTTGGAATGCCATAAGACAGGCGAGAGACCCAAAGCGTTCTCCTTATATTTGTCCAACTGCTTAGAGTTGGGTGTTCTCCTTTGATGTATCCAACTGCAGAAAGAGGTGGGTGTGTCTGTCTTGGGTACCCTTTGCCCGAAGGCTAAGGCAAGCCAGAGGCAAAAGCCAACATTTTGGGGTCCAATCTTCCACGCCCAAATGGTTGCTTCAGCGAAAGTCCAGATGTAGATCAAATCGCGTCCACACCCGTCTCAAGGCTTCGGCCTCTCTCCAACTCGCGGGTGAACATTCCAGGAGTCTGCCATGTCATGTAGGGGGTCAAACAATGAAAATTGATATACACCTTTTCAAGTGCCCCCACTCGAATTGCCATGCCCTACCAGCCGATCCTATCATGGCTGAAACTGCTTCTAAAGTACCCCATTCGAACAATGTTAAAATGGGATCAATCATTTAAGACTTGCTTTTTGGGACTAGTGCTAGTCAATTCTAAACTATCACCATCCCTAAGTAGTACGGTCGTTCGGCGGAACGTCCAACTACCTGCTCCCGCAGACCACCTTCCCTCCCTTGAACCCGGTTACTCTGCTCTGAGATTTGACTCGGGGTTGCGGGAGGATTTATTAATCGCACGCCAACATGATTTCGCCCCCCAAAACCTATCCCTACCCCTTAAAAAAAAAAAAAAAAACTATGACATCTGCTCTCAAAGTACTGTACCCCCCCACCCCCCCTCTCATTTCGATGTCATCCGCCTCCGGCGCCACTCCGTCCCCGTGGTGTTTTTTTCGCCGCTCGGCGCTCGGCGCTCGGCTCTCGCTTCGCCCGCCTTGCCGGCCACGGACAAGGAGTTCCGCCCCAGGCGCAGCGTGCCCATCGGCACCTGGAAGCAGCTGGCGACGAAGCGTCCGAAGCTCGCCTTGCGCTCCGACACGTCGTAGCCGCCTAGCAACAAGGACATAGGTCTGTCGTGTTTAAGGTTGGACACCCCCAGAATGGTGGTTTTCCTATAGGTTTCCCTTCAAAGGACATAATGTTCTTGCTTTTTTCAGGTTGGACCCCCCGCCCCAGAATTTTGGTTTTCCTATGGGTATCCCTTGAACAAATCACCAAACAAATCACCAAACAAGGGGACCCTCCCAAAAAAAAGACAGGCCGGGGGGATTAACAAAAAGACAGGGGCCATTTTGACAAACCAATTGATGGGGTCGCTGCCAAAGCTGAAAGGGTGTGGATCTTGACTCACTTCCGATGGAGATGCGCACAAGAATGGGAAGCTGAAACAAACAATTCCTTCTTGACTAGTTTTACAGGCAACTGAAAGGATACATATATAGGATGACCATTGGGATGATGGTTTGTTGGCTGTGGGGCGCAAGGCTCCAAACCAGATCCGAACCAGCCAAGACACCGGAGGCTGGTTAAGAGACAACGAGCCCGAAGTCGGACACAAAACTAGCACGCCAACCCCAAACCGATTTAAGCAACTCAGCTTGACACAGCCTGACCCGTCCAGTGCAAGCTAACCAACCCCAGGCCAGCGAAAGCCCGCCCCAGCCCAAACCGGTCCGCCAATTGACCCCGGCTCCAGCCCCAAGCAACTTAACCTCAAATCGGCAGCGGCAGTGCCGCGGCCGCATATAACAAGCCAGCCCCAAACCGGTCCAGAGAATGCGGAGAATCTTGCCCAACAACCAGACCAACCATACCAACCACCCGAGCATGCGATGCCTCAACAATGCTATGTAACCACAAACACTTCATTCCTTTTAGCCATGGTTCACATCAAACTCCAATGCGCATACGGTGAACTTCCTTTCAGCTTCCCTTTGGGCTAATCTTTAACCCGCTGGAAGAAGCTAAACTTCATCAGTAATGCGGATGGACAAAATCCGCACCGATCGGCACCTGTTGGCATGGATGAAGCACTGCGAATACTGGGAACCACTTACCAACTGTCCAAGCGGACTTTGCCAGTGACTGGGGCTAGTCCCCTTGTAACCAGGCTTGAAACCTAAAGTCGGTTCAACACCCAGGTAGCTCTTCCGGTTTGACACTCAAGTCGCCGGCCCACTCGAGGATTCTAACCGGTGAACTTGCTGATGGATTTCCCCCTGATCCAAGAATCTTGGTCAACGTTCAACAAACCTCGGATCTAAATGGGTGCGTCTTGTTGTTAGGACCAAGAAGACAGACCCAATCTTTTATCTTTGTTAATCTTAGGCAAGGGCAACCATGTCTCACATGGTCCCAAGTTGCTCCCTCCAAGACCCCGCCATGAGCACAGGTTCAACGGAGCAGCCATTTGTACACACAAATTTGTCTCTCAAAGGGGCGAATCGGTCACACCGGCGGACCAGCCATGCTTTGGAAATTTAACCGAGCCATTTTTGTTTGTCACGTTTCACATGTACGAGTCCATTTGCCTAGCTTTGGTGGCCCAAAAGTTTGTTCAGCGTTTAAAAAGCTAAAGGGATAGCTTGCCTAAACGGCAGCTGGGAACAGGACTTGGAAGCTGCAGGGTGCGCTGGATTTGTTTGATGTGCGCAAGGAAACCAATTGGCAGCTCTGCGCAAGCGATCCCCTCCCACCAGTTGACTTGCTTCGCAATCACTCGTCGAACATGAGACAACTCTGGTCGGCAAGAAGCCGAACGGAGTGGCAAATACAGTGGGCTAATTGCGAAAAACAAGAAATTCAGTGGATTCGCAGGACCAATTAGAGCTGGATTTCCACACATATAGGGAAGTGTGGTAAAGGGGACCCTAAAATCGGGCTTTCGTCTGGCGTTCTTTTAGGCCCAAAAGGGCGCCAACTCAAAAAATGCCACCCCCGCCCTGCGCGGCAAAGTTGGTGCCTGCAACGAGGTAATCGTTGATCTTGATCTCTACCGAGCTTCCTGGCAAACGGAGCGGAACCGCCCAACGCTTTCTCCCTACGATTATGTGGAGAACCAGCAAGCAAAAAGGGATTTGGAAGCCTGGGGGTTCTCAAGAAGGTCCCTACAATACATCTGTGTGGTCGAAGCAAAAATTGCTAAGAAACAGTCAACTGGGATTTGCAAGCCATTTCCCAAAATGAGGGAGTGGCTTTCCTTGCAAACAACCCCAATCGGAGTTTCTCCCAAATGGGGGCCCGGTTTGGTATGGTTTTGGAGGGAAACTGAAAGGACAACGGCCATGGAGGAATTGTACACCCGAAAGCGGGTGGGGTTTGCGCCCGTCTTAGATTTTAAAGGGGGAACAAAAAGAACACCAAAGGGAGCCCATGTCACTTTAAACCAACCTCCCCTGTAGTCAGCAAAAACCGGTCCTGGGACCGGTCCCGGGACCGGTCCCAGGTCCCAGGACGTCCTGGGACTGGTCGCCAGGACCGCTTTGCCGGCCCCGGGATCGAGTCCTGGTGTGACCGCTGGTATCGGGCCCCACTTCAAACTGCTGTGGTGCCACCTCACACATTTCCGGACTGGCACCCGTGTTTCAGGACACTGGGACAGGGTCCCAGGTCCCAGTCACTCCCTGCGACCGGTTGAGGGGCACCGACGGCCTTGTTTCTAGGGCCAGCTCAACGTGACTTGGGCACAAACCGGCCCGTGCGGTTATTGACGGACGAGCTGCCATCTGTCTGACTTTTCCGTTAATCCTTGTGGTAGTAGAGGATCCCTGGATCTATTCTGCAAGAGAGTCCAATACGTCGAGTCAAACCGCGCCAGACTGGGACCAGCCTGTCCCGGTCCCTGCCGGCGACCGGTCCAGGGCAACTTCGGGAGGGCCAGTTTCAGGGCGACCCCGGGAGAGGCGACTGCTCCCGGGCCAACTCCAAGTGACTTGGGCGCAAGCCGGCCCAAGCGGTAATTAACGGACTAGCTGCCATATTTCTGACTTTTCCGTTAATCCTTGTTTGTGGTCGTAGAGGATCTTATAAGTGGTCCCTGGGTTTGCGGACGCGTTTCAGGACCGGTCCTTGTGACTTTTCCCTTAATGCGCCGAGGGTCGGCGGCAGCAGGTGGGAGCCTGGTTAATACCAAATAGTCTGAACCAAATGGAATTAGAGGATTTTCGCTGACTTCAAAGCGACCTTCGGCTTTCAACACGCCCAACAAACATTTTTTGGGTGGAACAAGGGCGCGTCTCCCCAACCAAATTCCATGCGCCGATGGCTCGATCGGCGCCGATGCCTCCCAAGTCGGTGCGGTGCACTAAGGCGAGGCAGCAGAGCAGCGGCAGGTCCTCCAAGTCCTCGGGGGGGGGGGGGGGGGGTTGGGGAAAACGGGCTTTTATTCCATTTGGTGAAGAAGATGTTGTTTATTTTTTTATTTTGAATTTAAAAAAAAAAAAAAAGGAGAATCTATCACTGGGTTGGGGAAAACGGGCTTTTCTTCCATTTGGTGAAGAAGATGTTGTTTATTTTTTTATTTTGAATTTAAAAAAAAAAAAAACCTGTTGGTTTTCAGGAGAATCTATCACTGCTGGACATATTTGTTTGTATGTTTTGCAGGGGACTTCAGCAAATGGAGGATTTGGAGGGGCTTCATGGGCTTGGGCTCAAGGGTTTTGACGGGTATCGAATGGCTTTGAATGGCTTTGAATGGGCCTGGACATTCTTTTTGGTGGGTTTGAGGGTTTTCAGGTCGCTGTTTTTGGTGTTGAATGGCTTGGGGTTTGAAAGGGGTCTAGCGGGGTCTAACGGTTCTGAGCCGTTTTTAAAGGGGTAATCGAAGCGTTGCTTTTGCAAGAGGGAAAAAATTGGAACGGTCGAGACAAAGTTTGTATTGCCTTTTTAAACATATTCTCCCCTGACAAACAAAAAGCCCCGTGAGGGTACTCAAAGGTCAAACTTCCTGAATGGTGGCAATTGGCGGCGTTCCGGGGGAAAGCTTCGTAACTTGTAGTGGGCTACTCGACATTTGAGGTTGTCTCTCAATAGAAGCCTAGCAATTGTTGGTTCCCCCCCCGGTTCTCCTCTAAATTGTCCTGCAAAAAGGCACCCTTAAAAACAAAACAGGTGAGTGCGAGTCACAATAAACACCTGGCGGACCAGCGTTTCATGTTGCATCCAGCTGAGAGTGACCGAATCAAAACCGTTCGGGGAGCCGAATCCAAAACCCATGACGAAACAAAGCAGGGCCGAACGACTCCACTTCCAATCGGTCGAACTGAACGGCCGAAAGCTGGACCTTTTTTCTAGATCATAAGAGTCCTGTCAAAGTGACGTCCAAAGGGTAGCTCAAAGTCAAAGACATGGTTGGCACCAACATAGTCAGAAAGCTAAAGGCACACCATAAACCATGAAAATCGAGTCAAAGCCCAACCAATTTGTGTTGCTTCCTGTGAGCCAAAGGGATTGTCCTCAAAGGATGTCTGATGGGAGTCTTGTAAAAGTATCTCAAGGGGCCCGTAAGGCTGGTCCTTTGGACACGCTAGGTCCTCAACCTGGTCTCCCCGCAAGCCCTCCGAAAGGAGGTCTAAGGCGAACCCTAAAAGATGGTTTCTACTATCCCTAAACCACTGCCACCAGGAGAACATGAAGGGACCTTCCGAAATAGGTGCTTGTACCTGTATGTGTCATAGGTGCTTGTACCTGTATGTGTCACGAAACTGGAGAAAGCTGGAAACATGGTGATATCTTGATTTCCTGATTGGAAGTCTAAACATAAGCGTATGCGAGTTGGAATGGAAACCCAAACATGAGCCCTGTTTGAACCCAAGGCGGTGCCAAACAATATCCCTAACGCCAAACATCGGGACACGGGTCACAATTCCGAAGGCTTGCACAAGTTCCAGCCCTTCTAACATGCCATTTGGATAATTGCATCTTTTGAGCCAGTCATTTGGAGCTCCGGCGTTGCGTTGGGGGGAGCCGAGCTGCGAAAGTGATGCTGAGGTGGCAGTGGCTGCCTCAGAGCTTGTTGGCCCCATAGAACTGGATTGAGCACTGGGGGATGGATAGGTGTGTGTCAGGATATACCTTCTTTTTTTTTATACGGGCCCCATTTCACCGTCAAAGCCTTCCAAGTGGGGTACAGGGAAACCGCCTTGTTGCTGACGTTGATGCGCTGGTAGACCTCGTTTCGGTTTTTGCTTGGGCTTCAGGGACCCCAAACATCAGAAGGATATCATTTTGGACCAAACATGGATTGTGCTTTTCCTTTTGGGATTTCCCTAACCACAAAGGGCTACCAGAACTGCATGCCCCAAGTTCTCGGAGGGCAGAATTCCATCCGCCGATGTTTGTTCGGGTTTAAACAATTGTGGGACCTTTGAACCCAGGCATTCAACCTCGCTGCAACCTTCGGCTTGTGTCCACGTGAGGTCGCTTGAAGCAAACCCCCTTCTCCCTCCCACATGGGCTATAGGATGTTCATCGATTCTCATAGGAACTCGACGATAAAACCGATGCCCAACCTGCAACACCAAAAGGGACATGGACCAACCAAAACACGTAACTATTGTCCGATGGCTGTGTGTTAGAGAATGTTTGTTTGGGGGAACAGTTTTGAAGTGATGCCAGTTCTTCTTCTGCTTCTTCTTTCGCAATCAACTTGGCTCACAACAAAGGGTACGCGGAAATGTCATATCTTTCGACTTTCCACGCTTTGCCAGCCCCAACAATATGAAATTGGATTCTCTCAACATACAAGTACGGTGTTCCAGTTTGGCAAAGGGGTACCCTCCAAGACAGACACCTCCAAATAGTTTCGGAGACCCCAAGTCCGAGGGCTCCGCTGAAGCACAACATCTGAGACTCCTCCTCGGAAAAAAGGCGAAATGGCCAGCTTCCCCCCAAGTGTCAGAACAGGGGAACCCCGCTACACACTACCCATTACTACCCACCCCACTACTCCAGTACTTCAGGAAACCGGCCTTTAAAAGGTGTGAAATGGCGACGGGTTCATGTGAGTCACTGGCAATTGGATTGGGGAGTAGAAAAACGAGGAGCCAACTTCTTCACAAGAACCAGGGGGGGCCGCCCAGAAACACAGGACCGCCCCATTGTTGGTGCCTTTTCGTGATTTTCTGTTTTCGGACATTTCAAGCAACGCACGCAAGTATTTCGTGAGCACTGGGTAGTGAGTTGTGGGTTAGTGGAGTAGTTGAGGAATGGAGTAGTGGGTAGTGGAGCAGTGGAGTAGTGGGGGCGGAGTGGTGGAGGGAGAGTGGGTGGAGTGGTGGGTAGTGATGGAGTACTGGGAAAGCAGTGGGCAATGGAGCAGCCTGCTCCAAGGCCTCAAAGGCCAAAGGCCCAGAAACATCATTAACTCCCACAATTTGCAGCGTCCCTACACGAGTCATAGAGCACTAAAGATATTCTTGATCAGGGCCTTTTTCAGGTTGGACCCCCCAAATACGTAGTTTTCTCTGTAGTTTCATGGGTTTCCCCGCAGGCTCCTCTGGCAGCTGCCAGCAGAGAAAATGGTGGCCTGCGGCACCCAAAGACCCCTGGATTTCCGAACCCTATTCTGGCGCAATTGGGTTATTCACACCAGGACGGCTTTATCGCAGAAACTCGGAGTCAGGGCTTCCAGTGAAACTATTCTACCTCCGCCAGACAGGGCCTCCATCGTTTGCTAGGCGGCGGGTTTTCATATTTTAGAGGGTAAGCCAAAACGCTTTTGCGACGAGAGGGGTTTTTGCGACAGGCCAAACTAGTGCAATCACAAGCGCCGACGAGACGAGGACGCAATGAAACTGCTAAGTCGTGTGTGCATGCGTGTGTTGAAACTTGCGGTAGACACAAGCACTGCGAGCAGTGCAACCTCGCTGTGTTCTATGGCGATAAGGTAGCATCACGCGTGAGGATAAAAACAATGCAGTGCAACAGAATAAGCAACACTGCGCACCCTGCCAGGCATCACTGCGAGGCAAAATCAAGAAAAACAAGCGAAGTAGACGGCAGCAAGCTCAAACAAAACAAGCGTGACACAAACACACATAAGGGGGCAGAACCGACACCATAAGCTAAAACAAGAAAATGCAACTACACATTCAAGCCAATGCCGAGTATCACACAAATGGAGGCTCAAGCTAAGAACCCAGTGCGCCCAGCAACAGGCTCTGACGTAAATATGCAAAGCCAAAAGCACCCAAATCCGTGCAAACACGACAAACGCTAACGCAACTGCCAAAAACAAACAAAAGACACACAAACAAAAGCACAGCAAACCATCGCTGGCTTCCACGAAACGCCAACGCTGGCCTGTTGCACTGGCAAAGCAACAGCGCCTTGAAGACATGGTATGTGCCCATCTGCTGGGTGAACCACCCCCAGCTTAGGCGGTATGGGGGTGGTCGCCGCCCACCCCGGATGCGGCTAGCGTGGTTCAGACGGCCATGCCTGCCTTGAGCTGCGGCGTCTAGAGGAGAAATGGGTCAGACCCACAACGCAATGTGTAGGCGCGCGCCTCAGGGCCTAGCGTATATAGGCAGCCTGGCGACGGAACATGTACCCTGCCCAAAGATTCCAAAGCAAAGGTGCACTTGCAGGGCATATCTCAAAATAGGCCCTGCGCAAAGCATTCACGATGTAGCCACTACTCTTCTGCGTCGGCGTGTGTGTGTGTGTGCGTTCGCGTGAATCAAGCAAGAACCCAGGAAGAAGTAGGTGAAGGCGCCTGGGTGTACAGTAAACATTTGTGTGCCCCGCGCGCGTCTGTCTGTGTGTGTGCGAAAGTGCGTGCGTGCGTGCGCGCGTGCGCGTGTGTGTGTGTGTGTGTGTGTGTGTGTGTGTGTGTGTGTGTGTGTGTGTGTGTGTGTGCGTGCGTGCGTGCGTGCGTGCGTGCGTGCGTGCGTGCGTGCGTGCGTGCGTGCGTGCGTGCGTGCGCGTGCGTGCGTGCGTGCGTGCGTGCGTGCGTGCGTGCGTGCGTGCGTGCGTGCGTGCGTGCGTGCGTGCGTGCGTGCGTGCGTGCGTGCGTGCGTGCGTGCGTGCGTGGTGCGCGTGGCGTGTGTGTGTGTGTGTGTGTGGCGCGCATCAACCTGCGCACGCATATGCAGCCAGCATGATAGATACATGTGTGTCGGTGTGGAAGCGTCTGCTGGCAAGTGCGGGTTTGTGTTGAAACTCGCGAGAATTAACGTGCATGTTGGAACGCCAACAAAAACATTCCCCACTCCGACTCCGATTGCCGGAAAAATAGACGCAAGCACTGCGAGCTGTGCAACCTCACTGTGTGCGCTGCTATGAGTGCTGAAGTTGCAACAAGCCAGGTCTTCAGCCGACAAGGTAGCGTCACGAGTGAGGTTGAAAACAACTCAGCGCAAAAGAAGAAGCAACACTGCCCACCCTGCCAAGCATCCATGCGAAGCAAAATCAAAACAACATAACCAAACAACAGTCATTGAAGTAAGCGGGCAGCAAGCTCACACAAAATGAGCTTGACACAAACACACATGAAGGGACAGAGGCTCAAACAAGACAAGCAGCGGAGACCATAAGCCAAAACAAGAAAATGCAACTACACTTCAAGCCAATACCGAATATCACACAAACGGAGGCTGAAGCTAAGAACCCAGTGCGCCCAGCAACAGGCTCTGACGTAAATATGCAAAGCCAAAAGCACTCAAATCTGTTTTTGCCCTGGCAAAGCCACAGCGCCTTGAAGACATGGTATGTGCTGCGGCGTCTAGAGGGGCAATGGGTCAGACCCACAACGCAATATGTATGCGCGCGACTCAGGGCCTAGCGTATACAGGCAGCCTGGCGACGGAACATGTACCCGGCCCAAAGATTCCAAAGCAAAGGTGCACTTGCAGGGCATATCTCAAAATAGACCCTACACAAACATTCACGATGAAGCCACTGCTCTTCTGTGTCGGCGGGTGTGCGTGTGCGTTCGCGTGAATCAAGCAAGAACCTGAGGGGCGCGTGGGTGTACAGTAAACATGCATGTGCGTGCGTGTGTGGGCCCGTGTGAGTGTGTTTGGGTGTGCGCGTCAACCTGCGCATGCATGTGCTAACAGCATGATAGATACAAAATATGTGTGGGTGTGGAAGTGTCCGCTTGCAAGTGTGTGTGTGTGTGCGCGTATGTCTGCGTACACATGTGAGCAGTGAACAAAACCCTGTTACCCGTAAAGGAAATTACTCCAGCTTCCGCAATCGCTTGCGGAAAGCTTCCGCCAACCAAAAGGTCGCTTACGTTTGCTATTTTTCGAAGATGGAGCTTACGCATAGCTTACGACAAGTTGCTCGTGCCTGATCCCCCGTGAGCAAGAGGCGCTAGCATGACAAAGCAACAGCTTGCAGATGGAAAGGCTGCTGCACAGGCCCAGCAAGACAATGGAGGGCCAAAAGCTGAAAACAAACTTTCGGGGCACGAAAAGTTTTTTCCTGCAGCAAGCGCGCGGAACCTCTGCGAGCAAGAGGCGCCAGCAGGACAGAGGAACAACTTGCCTGTCGGGACCCGAAAAGTTGTTTTCTGCGAGGATCCACCACGAGCAAGGCGCCAGCATGACAGAGCAACAGCTTGCATGGAAAGGTGCAAAGGCTTTGCTGCACAGACATGGAGGGGCAAAAGCTGAAAATAACACTTTCGAGACCCGAAAAGTTGGTTTCTGCGCGGATCCTCTGCGAGCAAGAGGCACCAGCATGACAGAGCAACAGCTTGCACGGAAAGGTGCAAGGCTTTGCTGCGCAAGCTCAGCATTGACGTGGGCGCACTAGGGATTGAACCCGGGCCAAACGGAAAAAAACTTTCGGGGCCCGAAAAGTCTTTTTCTGCAGAAGGCACGCGGGTCCTCTGAGCAAGAGGCGCCAGCACGACAGAGCAACAACTCGCATGGAAAGGCCCCAAAAGCAACTTTCGGCTTGAAAAGTGCCTGCAGGTGGCAAAAGGTGCCTCGCAACAAAAACAACTTTTCTGGCCTCGAAAAGTTTTTTTGTGCTTTCCAAGCCCGAGGCCCAAAGGTGAAAAGGCAAAGCCGCAGCAAAACAAGCCCGGGGCTCAACATGTTGTTTTCCAAGCCCGCTCAACGACAAAGGTGAGGTGCCAAAACAAAACTTTCGGGGCTCGAAAAGTTGTTTTCCCAACGCGAGCTTTTTTGTTCAAGCTGGCCAACGCGCTGTGCGTGGAACATTGCAAAAGGTTTGCACAAGCAACCCAACGGTCAAACAGCAGTTGTCTGAGCCTGAAAAAGTTGTTCACTGAAAGAATCTCTTCCTTGTTGCTCAAAAGAACCCATTCCAGCAATTTGATCCCATTTTCACGCCAAAAAACATTACGCGGACCAAAAGCAACCTCTACCAAACAATCTGAACGAAAAACGGGTCTGACAAACAGAGCTTACGCAAAGCTTACGACGCGTGACTCATGCATGCAGCTTACGCAGGCCCTTCCGATTGCTTACGAATCTCGCAAAACGCTTACGACTGCAAGATCAATTTCCAGTTTCATCTAAATTGATCTACGGAGGTTTTTTCGCCGCTCATGTGTTAGTGCAAGCGCGGGTGTGGGAAAAGTGTGCGTGTAGTCTACGCGTAAGTGTGCACGTGTGTGCGCGTTCGCATACAGATATACAAACATGTCTGGCTGTAGTAAGTGTGGATGCGTAGGCGTGTGTGTGCGTGTAAGAGTGTAAGTGTGCTTTGCACCTGTGTGAGCCTGGCTGTGTATGTGTGTAAGTGTGCCTCTTTCTGCGTGTGTACGTGCTTGAAAGAGTGCGAAATAAAGTGTAACTGTGTGCGTGTGAAAGTGTGTAAGTGCGATTGTGTCGTATGCCTGCATGCGTGCGTGGGTGTGTGTGTGTGTCTCTGTGTGTCTCTGTGTGTCTCTGTGTGTCTCTGTGTGTCTCTGTGTGTCTCTGTGCGTCTCTGTGTGTCTCTGTGTGTCTCCGTGTGCGTGGGTGTGTGTGTGTGTGTGCAGGTGTGTGTGTGTGTGCGTAAGTTTGTATGCGTGTAAGCGTGTAAGTGGCTAAGGCTGTGAAGTCTGTCAGCGTGATGCTGCGGAAGTGTCTAAATGTGCGAGGGCGTGTGTGGAAGCGCGTGCGCGAAACTCTATGTTCATTTGTGTCCGCAAGTGATGTGTCTGGGCGTGCGCGCGTTTGTAATCAATTGTATGTGTCTGTGTGTGTGTGTGTGTCTGTGTGTCTGTGTCTGTATGTGTTTGTGTTTGTGTGCGTGTGTGTGTGTGTGTGTGGGTGTGTGTTTGTGTTTTTTCTGTGTTCTTTTGTGTTTGTGTTTGTGTTTGTGTTTGTGTTTGTGTTCGTGTGTGTGTGTGTGTGCGTGCGCACGCAAGCTTACGCGTGTACTCATGTGCATTTGCGTGTGTGTGTGTGTGTGCGCGAGTGTGAGCACTTTGGAGAGTAAGTGCTGGTAGACTGGTAGATGTAAAGCCAAACTGTGTAGGCTTGCAAGTGTGCATATTTTTGGCGGCGGCCGTGAAGTCAAAGACGCGCTTCCTTGTTGGCTGACGCGCTGATCCAACCTTGGTTAGTGTAGGCCATGTAGACAGTGTTGTGTCCAAAGAGCCTTGCGTGCGCAAAATGCCAACTGGTGCAAACAACTCGCCAACTGGTGCAAACAAACTCGCCAACTGGCGGAAACCACACTTGCCCACTGGCGCAACAAAAACCTCAACGTCAACAGGTGCCAAAATGCCTCAAAACTGGACAAACAACAGAACAAGGATAAAACAAAACTGGTTACTGTCACAACTCACCCCAACCCCAAGGATTTGCACTTTAGAGTGGCTTCACCCCAGACCCTGAGACCCAGTGGCCACGGGAACAAGCATCGACCGTTGGTTCGCTCTGCCTTCGGCCGGGCGGAAGGTGGCATTCGTCTCCACCTGGCGCTGCATCAATTGTCACTTTCGGAGGTACCCAAAGGAGATGTCTTTCTTTCGAAGGTGCTTTTGTCCACTTGAGTCATAGTCAAAACCCGGTATCAAAATGGTCTACCCAGAACCATGTTCATCTACCCGGGATTTGATTGTGGTTCACTTGGTTTCAAGGGGCTCTTCAGAAGAAGTCCCAAGGGAAAGATGTTTGAAGGCAACTGAAGCCTTTGAGGTCTTCGAGACCTCAAATCCGGGTTGGACAAGCTGAGCTGCACAAATCCGACTTGTGCGGTGTCCTTGCGGCAAAGGGACAACAGGGATGCGAGGAACAACATGGAACTTGCACAAGGGTCCCTGGTGTGGAAAATGGGCCAACCATGTCCAAACCAAGGGGTCCCTTTCATCTTTGGTGGAAGAATTCCGCATTGCGCGGGTGATCCCTCAATCCAGGGCTCACCACCGATCGTTTCCCCCGAAACAACCTGGGACTCGCCAAAGCTGCCTGAGAAAAAAAGAACACCTATCCCCCCTTTGTTTCATGGATGGGCGGATTTTCGTTTGAGATTGAACCAGCACCCCAACACACCCGAAGGACCTCACGTGGGCCGATGGGAGACCGCGAGAAGCTTGGCATAGCTTCCCTTCAGAGGCTTAGCCAAAGTCGAAGCTTGCGAATGCGGGGAAGAAGGGCACTCCTTTTGCTGGAAGTTGGTTTTGTTTTAGAGCAACCCCGCAAAAGAAGTTGAACAAAGGGCATGGGCTCTCAGAACATGTCTACTGGGAACGATAGACTTGGTTTAATATGGTTCAAATCCTCCCAAACAAAATTGAAACACTTGCGCATGTGGGTGGTGTTGAAGGGAAACTAGAAGGACAATCACCTTTTTGGGGTGTCCAGCAGCACTCACACACCCGTTTGACTATGAAGTTGTGAACAAATCAGGCCAGTATTGGAAAGCAATCCCCTTTGGGGTGGATTGGAAACAGTTGAGCCACAAGGAACTATAAGAATACAAGGAAATGAGAGTAGTCCTCCAAAATGAATTGGTGTGTTCCCCCCCCCGGCTTTAAGCCTGCTACATATTCCAATGGTTCCTTCGTTGACAGAGAGCCTCACCATGCGGGGCAGATAAGGAGCATGCCCCTTTGGTGAGACATGGTGGGAACTGCGTTGGGGCACTGATTTATCCATCGTTGGCACGGTCCATTGTGCAGTTCGGATCCGAAGCTGCATCAAAATGAAACAGACTGGGCTGCCGCTGGTTGGGCAGAGCCCACGAAAAGGCAGCCAGTCTTGGCACGTTACCATTGGGGGTCATCTAAATTCCTTAAATGTAAGTCCGGGAGATTGTGCGTCGCAATAACCTAACTGAAACTTGACATGCATGCAACCCCCCCCCCCAATTTGTGAGGTTTTGGGGATCGGACAACCTTCTGAGGGATGCTTCTTCTTTCGGATCCACATGCCGCGGTGGCCTTCTTGGACGAAACAAAGCCAACAAACTCAATTGAAATCCGTGGAAGCGGCCCTAAAATCGAACAAACCTTCCCTTTTCCACGGGTTTCCTGCCGATTTCCCTCGCGCGTTTCCTTCCCAAGGTTTCCCCCAGCTTTCTTGTGCGTTTCCATGGGTTTCCTGCAAGATTCCAAGTTATGCGCGGGTTTCCTGTGCGTTTTCCAACAACCAAATGGCCCAGCGGCTTCAAATTGAGCCTGGCGCACCGTATCGATGGGCCCATCCGCCAGTGCTGAGGGCAAAGCGGACGCCGGCGCCGTCCACCCCACTTTCCAAATCTCGGCTCCTGGCCCGTCCGCAGGTGCGGGCGCGGCTTTACGGCAACCAACCGACCGACCAGCACACCGGACCAACGGACCAACCAGCTAAAACCAACCAGCCAGCCAACCAACCTGCCAAAACCAACCAACCAACCAACTGGGTGTGTTTTTAGGAACCTGAGATTTCGGGGGGCTCCTTGAAAATACTACTTGCGATCGATGTTCCTATGTTTGTGTTTGTGGCTGACCGCTCGGTGATGCAAACCATAAACCATGCAAAGAAAATGTCCAACTGAATTTCAGGGTCGAACTCCCGCACATGCGAATTTGTAGAGACCAATTCTGACTTGCTGACTAGGCTGGCCAGGAAAAGCTTGAACATCTTGGGCCTTTAGCTGCAAGCCACAATCGGCAAACCAAACAAAACAGAAAACCAATAAATGGGGCACCCCAACATGTAACCAATCGGTTTCCCTCTAATTGGTTCTTTGGATGGATGGTTTGGTGGTTTGGGTTTGGTGGTTTGGGTTTGGTGGTTGAGGGGTCTCCCATCTCTCCAAAGCCAGGGGGTCAAATCCAAATCCAAATCCAAACCAATCCAAACCACCAACTAACGGATACCAGTCTGGAAAAACATGTCCTAAAGAGAAACGTGGCCCTGAAAACCACAACCAATGCACAAGGCTCACGTGGAGATCCTGGCAGCGTTACCTCTTCAGGTCGCCAGTTGATGCTGTGAAGATCCTGCATCCGGTGCTCCACGTCCTCCAAATGTCCAATCCGACGGGCTCGACATGTTGACCTCTAAACAACTTGAGGCGCCGCCGGGGAAAACATGGCGACTCGACAACGGAGGAGAAACAAGAACCCCCAACTAGGTCCTCCAGTAAAGAGGTTAGAATAAGAGTACCCTTTTTTCTGCAGTCTATTTCAGTAGGGGAACCCTCCCCCCAAAAAGAAACGGCAAAAGGGCACGATCCTGGGGGACCTAGCCAAAAGCGGCTCGGAGAAAAGGGCGATTGCCCAACATGCGGCGATTGCCCCTGGGTATGAGGAGCTTCTGGGCCAAGGCTCCGGGAAAATTTGTGTCCCTCTTCATCGGCTGGATCCGATCCGATCTTTGCTGCTGGAACAGCGGAAAGGATTTGCAAATCCCTTCGCAACCTCGATTCCTCAATGGATTGACCAAAACGAAAAACCTCAGCGGATTGGCAAAAAACAAAAACCTCAGTGGATTGACCAACAACAAACACTAGTTTGTGTTCTTTGCCGCTTAAAATGGTTCGTCTTCCAAAAACGTGACTCAAGTCCAAGTCAGTGAGCGACGCATTCGCGCCTGAAGGTCCCCACGGAAGTCGGGCTGCAGCAGCGCCGCGCCGACGGCGCTCGGCGCGCCGCCGCGTTCGGAGCGCATGACCAAGACCGGTGACCTCGAGGGGTCCGAAACCAACAAGCGCCCGACCTGAAAACATCGAGGCTGAGGGGAAAACCAACTCTTCCCCTGAGCAAAGTCTAACCTTTGTAAAACGTAAATTTAACGGAAAGCCATGTGTTTCCAAAAGGTCTAGAGCCACACCAAAGAGCGATGTTCTTTCACCAGCGTGAATCAGTGGCCACCTAGTTGGCGCTTTGGATTGATGGTCTGGAGGTTGGGAGGAGCTTCCTCCAGGGCCCTGCCAGAACCATGAGTTCGAATCACCAAGCAACCAATCCAAACTACCAACTGGAGGTACCCTGACTCAAAGAGTCAGCTTCCCTCACATTAGATTTGTGGTTTGGAGGTGCTCCGGGAGTGTTTACTTACCCTCCACAACAGTGTCCTTTAGGCCTTTAGGGCAAATAGATGGCCCTGGTAGATGATTAAACCACCAGGTAAACCATGAATCACCATCTACATGTCTACCAAAACAACCAAAAAGGACACCTACTGCAGGCTCCACAAGTTGTGGGGTTGCAATCCCCAAAACGCGGCGACAAGCACATTTCGCCAAACGCGGCGACGTTTGGTGCGAGGCGCCAGCCGGTGACCTCCAGGCACCTGGAGATCACCAAGCCAGCGCCCTCGTCCAAGCCCAGGCACCAAAGCCCGGGGAAGCACTGCGCCATCTCCTTCGGCTTTCCGCTCCCTTGCTTAAAAGTTTGACCTTTAGTGGTTCAATGGAAAACCCATTAGTTGGCAAAAAGCTAAAGTCCTAGCATCCAAGCAAAAGGCGCCAAAGTGAAATGGGCGGCTCGTGTGGGTTTTAATTGGTACTTGGGACCCCCTCCTTTCGCGGCGCAAGGAAACTCAACTGAAAGTTGCCAACAAATGTTGCATTGACAAAAAACGCCAACGGAGGAATATAGAGTCCCCTGTTCATGTGGCGTTCCCTTTCGTATTTGCTTGGAGGGAAACCAGAAGGAATCCCCCTGTGCTTGATATGCCCTTGACACATATCCAGTTTTGGATTCAGGAAGTGCTCTTTCTGTGAAAATGCAACATGGGGTGTGGCTGAGGGTAAAACTGGTATGAACCCGTCGCTTGGAGCGGGCTACTAGTGTCCTGTATGTACATACTGGTATGAACCCCTGGTGGTTGGACGTGTACATATGCAACTTTGGTAGTGGGTGTATAGTGGTTGTAACCCTCTGCGGGTGGTTTGGGGTGACTGTGGTTTACTCCCCTGCAGATTAATATGAATCACGACAAGCCATCAGTGTAAGAGTATTTGCACCACCTTTCTGAGTTCCATGTTCACCTGGAGAGTATGTTGTTGAAAAGTGGTGCACCAGTTGTGATTTCTCCAAATTTTCCATGAGATCCCCAGGAAATATCCGTTTGCTTTCAAGCCCAGAGCAAACTGCGGGGGTTCGTTCTGATAAGCTGTCTTATCAACAACAGAATTCTAGTTTTGATTTTGGTCTGGTGAAAAGGCTTCTTGCCAGGAACGGCGAAGCTGCGTCTTTTGAGAAACCCCGGAACGGACGCGAGATCAAACAAAACCTTCAAATGCGCGGACCTCCATCGAGCCATGTCTGAGATGCTTCGTCAAATTTTGCCCCCGGAGCTGCCTCAGACAGGTGACCCGCTTTGACGAAAATTGCACAAGGGACGTGTGGTTGACCAAACCCCGCCCCTAGGGCAGGCCTTCTGAAAACCCACTCATTTGAACGACTCCTCAAAGGAAAGGCAAACCAAAGGGGCCCCAAATCAAAGGCAATAAGCGGGGACCTTCACTCTGCATGTGCGCTAACCACTCGACTCGATGGAAGACTGCAAAGGAAAGATAACCACCTAAAAGAGAGTTTCCCATTCAGGGAAGCATGCGTCCTCTTCCCTCATCTATCGAATCGTTCCGAATCTGTTTGATGCCTAAAATGCAACATGAGGAAGAGGAAGCAGGTAGCCAAAGACCATCCAACTTGGGGGCGGGGTTCAGTCATTAACAACCCCTCAATAGTCAGTGTATGCAAGCTAACCAAACGGCACCACACACAAGCACGCGATAACTCTTTTATCCGAGCAGTGTGTTGGTGCCAGGGACTCATCTTCCCCTGTCAGATGTCAAAGGCTGGGTGGGCCCCATGGGCCACCCAACTCACAATCTCAAAAACTGAAGAACGGGTGTGCAGACTGATAGCGCCCGCCCCTGAGCCGGGGCCCGGGGCACCCAGGCCACAGGGGGGTCTGCCACCAGGGGAAGTGAGTCACCCACCGGCTCCGGTCACGGGAGCATGGGTGGGCCCACGCTAAGATCAAATGCATCTCCATTCAGGAGACGCGGGAGAAAAACGAACTCCTCGCAGAGTTCCTGTTTGGGGACCCTGTGCAAAGGGTCGAACCCAGAGAAATCTGGGTGCGTCAGCTCATCAGCCCATTGATTGAATTCACGGGGCACGTGGTTGGCCGCCAGCGAGCAGCCATGGGTGTGGAGCAGGAAGACCAGCTCCATCAGGATCGCCGCCGTGTAGGGCTTCTTGGATCCAAGGTTGAGCATCGCCATGACGTTGCCCTGATTGTCACTGCCCACCGGGAGTCGGACCCGGGAGGACAGAGGGCCTTGGTGCGTGAGGATCATGTTACAGAGGAAGAGCGTGCCCAGCATTTCCAGAGCCGCAATCCTCCGCTTGGGATCCCCATTCTTGAATGCCCAAGGGTACTCCTCCACGTGGATCTGCTCGTGGAACCAGTACACCTCCTTCTTTTCCGGCTCCACTTTGTTGGAGCACCAACCTCCCACAAATGCCAGTCCTTCGTCCGAGGCGCTAGCATCGCTGCAACCCCACCAAGAGGACTTCGGCAAGTAAGGGGAGTACTGGACGAAGGGCGTGTTGAAGAGGAACCGCAGCATGAACGCCAGCATCCTGACCACCTTGGGGGGTTTCCCCACCGTGGTGGTGGCCATCTTCCAGGCCCAAAGTGGCTGGAGCATCGACTTCGCCAGCGGACATGCAGCAGTCGCCCATTGAATGCGACCCAGGGCCTTCTCGATGTCCTTTGAGTGCGTCGCCTGCCCTTCCACCATGGTCTGCAAAACCTCCATAACCAGGATGTGTTTCTTGGCGGCCATGAGAACCTGCGGGATGTTCGGGTGGACCACGAAACCCAGCCACGTGTTAACCTCCGCCAAATGCGTCTTCTTCCAGCTAAGCGGGGTGCCCAAGGCCAGGAGTGTTGCCAGCAGCGCCACCGCCAAGTTTACTGCCCCCTCGCTTCGAAGCAGCCACAGGAAGTCATCGACAAAGACGAAGTTCCAATCCACTTGAGGGAAAAGTGCATAGAGGAGCCTGAGTAGAAGGGCTGCCAGGCGTCCCCAGTAGGATTGGTGGGCCTTGGTGACGTCCGCCTTCAGCAGCACCCACCTGGTGCCCGGCTCCGGCCATAGCCAGCCCCCAGGTGGAGGTTTGACGACCTCCCTCTCAGAACCAGGGGCACCCTGAGAGGGGGGTCCCTCCGCAGCTGCCGCATGTAGCCAATGAAGAGCTTGTACCCCGGAGCCGTCGTCCTTTCCACCGTCTGGTTCCTGATGGTGTCATTGGCCCCGCCCACCGAGCCATCGTAGATGGTGCGGATCTTGTCCCCCTCGTCGATGCCCGCTAGGGGGCCGGGACAAAGGTCCTCAATTTCGCAGCCACAGCGCGATGCTGCCTCCACCTTAGTGAAGGGGCCCTCTACCATGCCCATGGGGACCTCCTCCAGGAATGTGCCCCGGATGAGCTCGCTGGCTCCTCCCCTTTCAGCTCCTTCTTGAGTGGCCAGATGCCCGGCGAGGTCAGGGGTGGGTCCGTGACCCCCAGTGGGACCCCTTGCTCCAGATCCCGGGGAAACTGGTGGTCGGGGTCCTGAATGTTCAGCGCCACGCTGTGCAAGATGTCCAGGAAGAAGGGTTGGCCGTCAGCTGGTCGGCCTGCCCCCGGCGCCAGAATCTCCCTGATATCCTCCAGCAGGTTCTCCGGGAAATGGCGAAGTGAGGACACAGATCTTGGCCCCCATCGCTGCTGCTTTGGACAGCCAGGCCAGCCGTCCCAACGAGGGCTTTCCCCCTCCGTCCCTTAGGGGGCGCTGTTTGAATGCCATCTGGAGGTACATGACCTTGTCGGAGAGATTTGGGTCGTGCGTGATCGGCAGGATGGTGGGCCGATCCGAGATTTCCATGCCAGGGGAAAGAGTTCCCCCCCGAAGTTCGTCCGTCTCGCCAGTCCTCTGCGTCGGTGTCCGGACCTCCGGTTGTCCGAGGCCGAGACCGGAAGTGAGCCCAAGGTTAGTCCCGCCAACGCTTGTTGGCCAGCCTTCAACCTCCGGGACTGGCGCTTGTTGTCCCCCGGCGTGCTGGGAGAAGGTTCCCTCTGCCGCCTCGGGGGGGTCGTTGGGTGCGCCTGGGGCACTGTGCCCCCCGGCCTCAGCGCCTCCAGGACGGGTCCCGCTCGGCAAAGGATGGCCGCTGCGAGACCCTGCATCATCTGCTCTGGATACCGGCTGAGGTCACTGGAGTTGAGCTTCCTGGGGTGAGCCCCGTGGTTGCACCGCAGATCATGCCAATGGTGAAGGGGAAGGTCCGTTGACAATGTCGTGGACTTCACTACCACCTGGCCCAGGCGGCATTCGTCAAACTTGATGAGGGAGTGGTGGAGTGCGTTCGCCCATTGAATGTAGGCCCGTGTGACCCAGATCGATGAGCACCTCGCTGCGCTCGGGCTCTTGCTGCACTCCATTGGGTCCATTGGGTGCTCCAAGAATGAGGAACCCACCTGCGGGACCGTTAGCTGACCTAGCCCCTTGTAGGCCAGCGAGGTCAGGTACATCTGTCGGAGCATGAGCACGCTGTCATTGTCCGTGTCCTCCATAACCCGGGGCTCCAGGTCCTCTAAGCCCCACAGGGTCTGCTCCGCTCTGCCTCTCACCGGCGGGCCACCCGGTTTGGGGAACCATCTGAGGATGCTCCACGTCCTGCAGTTGGGGCCGCCCCCCACAAAGGCGACCTTGCCCGCCATGGCCATGGAGCACATCGTAGAGTAAGGCTCATCTCCCAGCATGTCCTGCCCAAGGTCTCCACCCTTTCGCCTGATGTCCACCGCCCAAATGTACTCCGAGAAGGCCGGGTTGTAGGCATGGAGGTAAGCATCCAGGGCCCCCGCATCATCCTTCCCAGCGTACAGCAGGATGAGGGACGGCTTTGACGACTCCGGCACCGGACGTGGCGTCCACCTTAGTCTGAGCCTCAGTCTTTCCGGGATGTCCTGCATCCATGGGAAGGTGGGGCTTGCCCCCCCTAGGGATTCCGTGTGTCCTTTGTCTGACCCTCCCGTCATCTGTCCCTGGGCTTGCTGCTTGCCTGGCGGTTCTTCCCGCCCTTGGAACGCCCCTTGCCGGGCGGATCCTCACCTCTGGGTCTCTCTGGGGGGTCTTCCCACTGCCTCGGTGGGTGCGGGGGAAAGGGATGCTTCCGCCCTTCTGGAGTGCCCTGGCTGGGTCCGCTCCTCTTCCTCGGTGGAGGGGCTTCCGGGGCCGGTGGCACCCTGGAGAAGTCCCCTCCCACCTGAGGCCGTCCTGGCCTCCCCCGCTCTGTCTGCCTTCCGCTGTACTCTTGCACTGGTGGCCTGTGGTCCCAACGGAGACCAGGAAGCCA